TTTGCATAAAACTTATAAACTTCTATGCATATTTTAACTTTAAGAATGAATATCAACAAAAATTTAATATTTAAATATAATTTTAAAGAAATATAGTAATGAAAATAAAAAACTCGCAAATTTCCAAAATTGGTTTAACTATTTAAATCTTTATTTTATTAAAAATGTGTGTCGTATTATCCTACTTTTAAAAGTATTTGAAATTTATAGCAACGTTTTAAAATTTAAATAAGATATAAACCATTTCATGCAATAGATTCATGACAAAGGTGATATATATTTTCAATAGTATATGAATTTAGAGGCTTAAATCATATATATTTAGAATTATTTTTATTATAAAAAACATATATAATAACGATTGTAAAAATATATAATAATAATTACACGTTTGTTATTAGTTATTAGGTAGCGCGTAGTTGTATGAATGTTAGTCGCCGTAACAAACGTATAATCGTGATTATAAATTAAATAATATGTTATTTATAATTACAGGTGAAGGAAATAATCATTGTTTTGTATTAAAACATTTTCACTTTTTTTACTTAAAAATTAGGTTATAAATCTTTACTATTAAAACATTTCTTAAAATTCAAATTTTTAAAAGCATTTTAAACATAAAAATAAATAATTATAATATATTTTTAGTGTTTATGTTGTTTAATTTACGGATGAGTCATTAATGAGTATTTTTAAGGGATAATAATTGATTATAACTTAATTAACTTTTTAAATATTATATTTTTATTTTTATTCTTTTAATATTATTTATTTTTTGGAAATACAACAAATATTTTATATTAATTAAATTTAGTATATTTTAAATTAAAATATTTTTTTATATCTTATTAAGTCATACACATATTGTGCTTGTGGTGTACTTTCCTTTGGTAACAACCCCAATCCAATAGTTCGTCGTACACATATAATCCCCATTATTGATAACTTTTTCAATAAACACAAGAATAGATGAGAATTTGTCACTGCAAAGCACCACAATCTTTGAAATAATTAGCATCTAACCAATTAATCCACAATTTGTCAGACTTTGTATGAATATTCCATAATAACTTATCAATGGTGGTTTTGTTCCATATTTGTAATGATGTGATGTTTAATCTCCGAAGTGTCTTTGGCCCATAAATTATGTCCCACGCAATAGACACCTTCTTACAGATTTCATCCTTGCTGGTCCACAAGTAACTTCTACAAGTTGATTCAATATGGTTGATGGTTTTATGATATAAGAGAAATATGTGCATCCACTAACCCGTAACTACGAACATAACAATTTTTATTATTTGACAACTACCAACATAACTCAACATAACTCAATATATATATAAGATAAATATTTGTTTTTTATTATTTATATAAATCTATTAATTAAAAAATATTTATTCTTTGTTTTTTATATATTAGTCAAGAACACATATTTGTGTCATATTATTTTATTTATTTTATGTATCAGAAATAAATATTTGTCTAAATAAGTATTTATCCCATATTTTTTAGTGTATTGATCACAAATATTTGTCTAATATTTTTTTTAAACTTTATCTGTTATAAATATGTCTCGTATTTATAAAACTTATGTGGTTTTTATAAAAATATATTTTATATTTTAGTTATTCACATTTTTTTAAAACATTTTTAAAAAATAAAAAATTTTGCTGATATATGATAATAAAATATTTGTCCGGTGTGTTAATAGTACATTTTAATATATTTCTAAACGACTTTAAAAATCTTATAGTAAGTGTAACATAACTGTTTTTTTTTTTAAAACTTTTATATTGATGATATTAAAAATTAATAAAAATATTGTGATAAATATTTGACTTGTATATAATTTTGATTATAAATAATAATTAGTTTATTAAAAACATTCTCATTTTTTAAAAGTATTAAAATTATAATGTTGAATTTACTAAATAATTAATGACACATATTTATCTCACTTATAACTTATATGTTTCAATAATTTCTTTAGTAACTCACATCATAAAAAATAACATGACATTATTAAATTATTAAAAAATATAATTATTATAATATAATTGCTTTATTTTTATTTTCATTACACTACATAAAATATAAATCTTAACAATATTTTTTACTGAAGGTGAAATATGATAATAACTTATAACATATATTGAATTTATATTTGTACGATCTAACTGTTTTTTTAATAAATCATTTCAATAAAAGCATCATTGCGTAAATTGTACCATCAAGTTTCAAGTCTCGCAGTTTTTACCTGTCAGAGATTCACAACAAACAAAATAACCCGCGTAGGCGTAGCGCAAAGGTAGTATACACTACACCATAAACGACGCGTCGTTCAGCGACCTATTTCGTTCCTTTCAGATTCCTTATTCGACGCACCGTCAGACTAACGGTGCCGCTTCCTGGTGCCGTCGTTACGCTTCTATTTCTTACCTTCCTTAAACGGCATCGTATCAAAGATCGATCCTCTTTCATCTCAATTGCGAAACCCTAATTCAGACGAAGCTATTTTCTCCTAAATTTCCTGGTAAAGCTTGATCTCATCGCTCTTTACGATCTGTTCTTGAATTGTGATTCTGGAGCTGCTGATTTGCGCGTTTTTTGTGGATGGTTTTGACTTTCTTTTGTTTTGATTTTCGTTTTCGGTGAGCTGTGTGTTTTTCTTGTGTCTGATTTTGATGTTATAGGTGGTTGATTTTTGGGGATCTAATGGGTGCGAATTTTGTAATTTTTCTTTGTTTGTGTGATCACGAATAATAATAATGAATTGTTCGAATTCCTCTATGTTATAGCACCTCTATTTAACAGCACTGATTTTGGGTGAGAAGGATGTGGATGCTGGTGTTTGTCGGTGGGAGTGGTGTTAAATGAAAAATTGGCTTGGTGGTTGGGAGTCAAGGGTGGGAGCTGGCAGTTGTTGATGAGGTTTATATCATGAATTGCTTCTTTTTCTTTCTGGTTTCTTTTGTTGTTGATGAGGTTTATATCATGAATTGCTTCTTTTTCTTTCTGGTTTCCAAGTTATAGAGTACTTGGAAATAAGTTGAAAACAACTTAGGCCATAACTTTTCCCAAGCTCTTTCACAAATGCTTATGCCATAATTTCTCCCCAACTGTCTTTCACAAATGCTTATGCCACAAATTCTCCCCAACTGTCTTTTACAAATGCTTATGCCATAGATAAACTCATATAAGTCAATCCAAACATGCCTTAATTATTATTAATCATTTGAATATTTGAGAAAGTATCAGATTTGAACATATTGATAGAGAAGGCTTGGCTGTTGCTTTATTCCTTTGTTAAAGTGTCCTGAATATCTTATTTTTGTTCCTTTGTTGGGTCAAAATTGCGGACAAGAAATCAGGGAGCTTTTGTTGAATTGGCTTTTTTTTTCAGCCATTGATTTCTGCTTTTAATCAGAATAGTTTTTCTTCTCTCTATTTAGGTAACAGCCATGCTTTTCTAGGTTTGTAATTTTCCTCACACTTAATAGCTAACTGCAACAATGAAAAAACCTTCTCAGGCTATTTGGGTCAATGTTGCTAACACATACATTGTGAATTTGTGACTATTCTTCAAGATACTAGCTGACCATATATTTTTCTTACTATGTTGAAAATCTTTTCTACTTTCTAATGCGATAGAATTCAGTTGTGGTGAAAGCTGCAATTAATAGTTTCTTTCGTGGACCGCCATTCGCCATAGACAACACTGTGCTGGATGTTTATAGAGTGTAGCCAGTTGTTATAATGTACAATATTGTGTCAGTATGTTTTCAGTGTCTTTGTTATCATAATGTTGATAATTCGAGTGCACTGTTGTATGCTGGCGAGGAGAGCTGTTTTGAGGCAACTGAGTAGGTTGCAACCTCTTGACATTAAATCATCCTTAGTGGGAGTTATTTAGTATGTTACTATATCAAATCACTGTTTTATGAGTTTCTCTAGCCAGGTAGAATTCACCCTATGTTAAACGGGTGAAGTGGAATAGTTCTTCATATTACTGGAAACTACCAAAAAGTTTTGGGACTTTCTCTAAATTATTGACTATATGGGATATTTCTCTAGTTTCATTTTTGGTGTCATTCAATGTAAAATTTAACTAGTATAAGTGTAGTACTTCCAATTATGGTTTCTTCTATATAATCACCATAATATGGATCTCATTATTTTCTCTTTTTCTTTCATCTAATTTCAGGCCAATGGCATCTTCTTCAGACTCATGGATGAAGGAATATAATGAAGCAATGAAACTTGCCGATGATATCAGTGGCATGATTTCTGAACATAATTCATTTCCTTCATCTGGACCAGAAACACAGCGTCATGCATCTGCTATAAGAAGGAAGATAACAATATTGGGGACCAGACTGGATAGCTTGCAATCCCTTTTGTCAAGGGTCCCTGCAAAGTGAGTATTTAGCTGGTGCTTACCCTGATTGAGATAGGGCTGTGCTATTACAGCAGAACAATGAGGACCAGAAATCAATGTCCTGTAGTAATATGATGTTTTTTGTTGGAAAAATGTTTTGTGGAGTCTTCCACATCTATCTCCTTACCATTTTCACATCATTGTAGTATAACTTTTTGCAATGATACTGATAAGAAAATATGTGATCATCTGTCTATTCTGAGCTGCAAAGGTTTGTGATGTAATGTGTAACATGTTTCTTTGTCAACGATGAACAGGTCTGAGAAGGAAATGAATCGTCGCAAGGACAACCTTGCAAATTTGAGGTCAAAGGTTAATCAAATGGCTTCAACGTTGAACATGTCAAACTTTGCAAATAGGGATAGTTTGCTTGGTCCAGAAATAAAACCAGATGCAATGAGCAGAACCGTTGGCTTGGATAACAATAAACTTGTTGGTCTGCAACGGCAAGTTATGAAAGGTCACTTAATTTTGAATTGTGTGAACATTGAACTATATAACTTGTAGATTATGCTTTTGATAATGATTTGGGAAACTGTTTTCAAGCAGAGCAAGATGAGGGCCTTGAGAAATTGGAGGAAACTGTATTAAGTACGAAACATATTGCGTTGGCAGTGAATGAAGAGCTGACTCTGCACACTAGACTCATTGTTTGTTCCCCTCCTATGTTAATTTTACGTGCTCTTTTATTGCGATCCATTTTTTTTATTCTTCTGAAAATCAAATCCTTTTTTTCCCCTTCTGCTAGGATGACTTGGACGAACATGTAGATGTCACGGATTCTCGGCTGAGGGTAACTTCTTACCACAACTTTTATATTGGAATCATTGCTCTTGTTTAGTTAGGCATACACGAGAATTAAACTTTGAGTTTGGAAAAGTATACAATATGCTTAATTTGTCTATATCATGTGAAATCTTCTTTGAATTCTATAATGTTCATTTTCTTAGTTTCTAAGTTCCTTAATTCTGATAGGTATTTTCTCTGAATTAAAGATACCCCAAGTACACACCATTTTAACATTTCAAATAGATGCACAATATTTTTGGTTAGTTGGTCTTTATTGAGGTAGCCGTATTTTGAAATATCTATAGCTGTCATCTTTTCCTAAAGAAGGCGATGGGTTAATTTTTTAACGCTTTGGATCCTTCTGATATAATTTCAAACGATTAAGTTGTTATCTTACCCATTTAAGTTTTAACTATTGAATAGATATATGTTAATATCGTAGAGAACTTGCTTGCAGCTAACTTTCTCTGTTTCTCTTGTGTTAACAGAGAGTGCAGAAGAACTTGGCAATTTTAAACAAACGCACTAAGGGTGGTTGCTCATGCTTGTGCATGCTATTATCTGTGATTGGTATAGTGGTCTTGGTTGTTATCATATGGCTTCTGGTCAAATATTTGTAGTTATGAAAATACTCAACTCGTGAGCTGTTTTCCTTTTGTTTATGTTTCTGTGTGTGTGCCATGAAACATATCATATATAACCTGGTTTCTTTGTTTGTTCTTGGTGCTTTGCCAATGACATGGAATTTATTAAGGTCTTGAAAGTCTATGATTTGTAATTGCAGATCTTTTTTAAGTGTTGATATCTTTGTGCTTTAACAAATAAGTAAGTCACCTGTTAATATTAGTGGGAATAGTATTTTATGCCCATCCATTGCTATATTCATGTATATAAGATGCTCGCTAGGTTCAAACCAATGTTTTAAGACTTGGCTCGGTCCGTGGTCGAATCAGAAAGTCACTAATTGAATTGCATAAGTGACTCCGATAAAATCGGATGACTTAGTTAATTTAACTCGGTTTCAATAATAATAATAAAGTTGTATATGTACTAAATTGTGTTGAAGTGGATGACACAATATCTCTTCAGAAGTTATAAAAAAAATCATGACACAATTTAAAAAAATATAGTAGACTATTGGTTTTTCGTATTTTTATTTGATCACATTTCTATTTTCTACTTTTCAAATTTGAATTTTTATAATTTGCTTTCAATTTTGAATTTTTTTCTGAAATACGTTGGTATATTTATTGGATTTTTTTAGGGTTTCCAAAATACTTTGGTCTTTTATTCTTTTATATATTTTTTTTGTTAAGTAGTCTAATGGCTGAAGTTCATTACTTTCAATGTTCCTACACAGTCCACAACATAATGGTTTTGTGTCGTATACTAAATCAAGACGTACATGTTATCTATGTTTTGGTTCATCAATGTCCCTTATGCGCCGGCATTAATAGTCATTCAGGTGGTATGCATCAATCCATTATAGGAGGTGTAAACAATGAGACGTTTCTCGAGCCATGGTGCGTACATACCCTTAGCATCCCTTTGAATCTCTCTCACCTTTCATAAGAAATTCACCTTTCATTTGAGTAAATGTATTTGAATCTCTATCAGCTTTCATATAGAGACTCACCTTTTTTTTTTTAATAAGCAAGGGGGATTTGAAATTAAAAAGAAGCACAATGAGTGATCACCCTTTTACAGCCAAAGAAATCATAGAGCAAACAAAAAAAACACAACCACCCAACAAAAAACTAAATCCAAACCAGCAAAAACGAGATCCACCACCTACTCCCAACAAACTCCAGGATTAATACATCAATCTGACCATAAAACATTCTTCCTTTTTCAAGAGAAAGCATTGAATCACTCCCACAAAGCATTAAACTCACCTTCTATTTGAGTAAATGTATATATTTGATTTGCATGTGCACAGTTTTACTCCATGAAAAGTATTTGACAAGAAATGCATTCATGTGTTTGATCTTCTAAAAAAATTTAAAAAACAATATGATTTTATATATTAATATAATATTATTTTTTAATTTTTTAAATATGACATCATTTATCATTTATAAACTCTAAAAAAATCAACTCTCAAACAGGTACTTGAAAAAAAAAGAGAATTTTAATATGACATAATTTATCATTTATCATTTATTTTTAGTGTGTCATTCAAGAAAGACATATTAAATTCATATCATTGTTTGGAGAATTCGAGAATTGATATTGTTGTATTATGAAAAGCATA